TAGGATGAAATTACATATTTTCTAAGCTTATTACTTCTTGGGTTATGTTTTTTGGCACAGAGAGGGAACGTATATCTGTCATTGCCTTTGAAGTATTTAATGACAACCCCTTATGACTTGGCACATTGCTTATGTGACAAGAGAGTCTTAGAATGGAATGAATGCTGTTACTTATATTTATAGACATTAAGTGGCTGTCCTTTAGTAGTGATTTCGGGATATGAAGAGATGAATGTCAAAGTATGTATCAGAGTAGAATCAAACTGTAGTCTATGTACAGCTTTTTAAAAGGGTAAAAATAGATGCGTTTACCATGATTATTCCTTTAAAAAGTTAAAAGAAAAATATTTTCTTCTGTCAGAGGGAGACCCTAGTGGATTCAAAGAGAATTTCTATACCAAAGTGTTAAATTCAAAATTCTAAATTATTTTTAATCTTTTTAAAGTTGCGTGTTGTATCACAAGATGTGAAATTGAGCCTTCGTGAATTGGATGAACTTTACATCATCTTTAAGGTACTACTGTTCTTCTTTAAATAAAAAAATAATGCCCTTTTAGCAGAATTGTATCACAACCACTCTTAAATATTTTTATCTTTATTTTAGCATACATGTTTTTAAAAAATCTTCCAAAAGTACTTTTCTGATTTAATGACTTTCCCTTTTTTATTTGTTTTTAATAGAAAGAGCTATTTTTATCTTGTTATTGGTGTGTGAGTTGTCCGGTATTGAAGCACCATGACCCCAGTCTGCCATATTTGGAACAGTATCAGATTGACTGCCAGCAGTTCAGAGCATTGTATCACTTGTTGAGTCCCTGGGCTCATTCTGCAAACAGAGATTCACTAGCTTTATGGACATTCAGATTGTTGGATGAAAACTCTGACTGCCTTATAAACTTCAAAGAATTCTCCTCTGCAATTGGTAGGATGATGTCCAATAATTTTTTAAGGAAAAAATAAAGGTGTTCCTATAAATATTTAGTACTGCCTATTATTTGCCAGTTTAGTCAGATTATATCACCCTGGGTTACATTATTTCCAGCTTTAGTAATAGATGGGCCTTTTTCTGTGTTTGTTGCTAAATCTGAGTATATTGATCACATTTTGCCCCAACTCTTTCAGAAAAGCAATCTGTTAGATGTGGATGTTTTAAGAATTAACACAAAGGAAGAGAATATCTAAATTTCCCCACATTCATATGCATGGATGCTATAGAAGGACTTTCCCCTTCAGTAAAAATCCAACCACACGGCCTAGAAAAGTGGCAGAGAAATACTCAACAAATAAGTCGTACCTACAGATAGTCAATATGTTGTACCTGTAGATATTGTTCCTTTGCTTTTCCAGATACCCCAGCATGCTTTCTTATCAGGAATTCCTCCTTAAAGAGCATTTCTCTCCTCGAATGAGGTAGAAGGCCTCATTCAAAAGAAAAAAACAATCTGAGTTGGGGGAAAGGAGATAGACAGGATAGCATTTTATCCCTTTGGTAAAGAGTATTTTGCTTATACATTTAAAAAAGAGAATCTGGAGGATGGAGTGGTTGTTTAACTGTTAGCTTAAGTAACAGAAGGTTTCTGAATTCTAAATTCCTGGCTAATAGCTTTATCTTAATTAATCTCTGTTGTTGGAATTGGTTGAATGTTCTTTGGATACATGATTATTTGCAATTGAATTTTATTGAACAGACATAATGTACAATGGAAGTTTTACTGAGAAGCTCAAGCTGCTTTTTAAGCTTCATATTCCTCCAGGTAAGAGTCTTTAATGATGTACAGCAAGAATTGATTCCATTTTTACAAGTATTACAGCTATTCCAGTTTAACATAATTTTCAATATGATGTAAGGTCACTGTTTCGTTGTGGTCCTCAAATCATATTACCACTACTTTTGCTGATATAGATGCAGTGAAATCTATGGAAGAGATTCTGTGTGACAGATGAGTCTTTAACTTTCCTTCCTGTTAGTGGCCAATCAATTTAATGATAAATAGTTTGTATATAAGAATTACATATCATTTGAATATGATATGTAATTCGAATATGATATGTAATTTGAATATTGGTATAATGTTGAATTTTTGTTGTTGTTATTAGGAAGGAAATTAACTTTAGAGAAACTGCCAAACTTGTAAAATTCTATAAATTATTCAGAAAAATGGGACCAGGCAGCAGGGATATTAAATATTTGGAAAAGGAAGCAAAATAAAAGCTACCATTTATTGTGCACTTGCTCTGTCAAGACAATTACTTTACATGCATTCTTTTGTTTAATCCTCACAATATCCCTAAAAGGTGGTATTATCCTTCCAATTTTGGTGATAGGAAACTGAGAGTTGGAAAGATTAAATTATTTGCTCAAGATCACATAGCTAATAAATCGCATAGCTGGGATTCAAACTGAGGTCTAGCTGATTCCAAGGTTCACATTTCTTTCTATTCTACCATACCCTCAAAGTTACCACACCATTCTAGTTTATTTTTTTCCCACTGACCTTAAGAGGCTGCCATTCAAAGGCCTGAGCCCTACTTTGAGAAAACAGGCTTTCAACTGAAGGACCAGTGCAAAAAGCACCTTTTAGCTTAGGTAGGGTAATTTACAAAAACAAACAGCACTTCATAATTTGCCTAAAGCTACACATGGGATCCCTTTTAAACTCGGGATAGCCAGGAAACATTATTTACCAGACCAACAGGCTAAAACCATCTTTAAACCTTCACATTCAAATCACAAACACAGCATTAAAAACAAAAGACAAACCACTTAATATTTTAAATTATAAAAGTTTACATTGTCAAGTCAGGTTGCTGTTAGAATGTTTAATATTGTCATTGAATATGCTTTTAATAGATCAAAAATATGAAAAACGTGCTCATTAAAGCACAGGTAGATGGTAAAACAGTACGCTCAACTTCATGTTTTTCTTATTATTGAGGAAGTTTAAATGGCAGAGGTCACATTTTCAGAGATTTCCAAATGCTGTGTTTTCTTATTTCAACTTGTAATGGCTCTCGGAAAATAATTAAAAGACATGTGGGAGAATAATAAAACTCAAAGCGATCAAGCACTTTTTGTTATTTACTATACGGTAGAGTAGTACCCTTCCACATTTCTTCACTTATGTCTCTCTTATACAGAAATCCTTTGTTTAACTCCCTGCTCCCAAATGTACCTGACCCATTATGAACCCCATCTCTGTACCTCATTGTTACTAAATGTAATTTGGGTTATATGTTTTCAGCTTACACTGAAGTGAAATCTAAGGACCCTTCAAAAGGAGATGAACTTTCCAAGGAAGAATTACTTTATTTCAGTCAACTCCATGGTAAATATCTGTTTTAAAGTTTAACTGTTTTGATGATTAGTCACCCATAGAGATCTTCTTGGCTTAGACATTCTTTACCCAGCTACCACTAGTAAAATTTGGGTTCATTTTACCTTATACTTTTATACTACAATAGCACTTAGCATAGTTCATAAATATTGGACTGATTAAGCAAATTCATTTTAGGGCTTTGATTTATAAAATTTCTTATTTTTTGGAAAAATCAAAAAGAAAATGTATTTTGTTTCTAAGAATGTTGCAGAAATTTCTGAAAGGTATCATGCCTGATAAAATACAGTGAAGACAATAGAATCTTTGATGATTAAAGGTCATGGCTATTATTCAAATAGTGAATACTTATTATAAATCACTGTAGGTGTAGGAGACAGGGATGAGTCTGTCACCAAGACATAATTTAAAGTGATATGAGCTTATTTTTATGTCTTTTGCTTCATTTTCATAAATATACAATGTCTTATAAAGGGATAAGTACTGATTAATGTATGTTGTACTTACTATATGTTAAGGTGTTTGAACATTAGGTTTGAAGAGATCTCACAAATCACCTAGTTAAGTCCCTTCATTTTATAGATAAAGGCACTAAGGCCCAGGGAGAAGAGACTTGTGCAAGGTTTCACAATGAGTTACTGCCACAATCAGGGCTTGTAGCTCAGTCTTCTGACTTCCAATGTGTTTTTATTTTCCTGATAATAAAAGTAATACAATTTTATTTGAAGAAAGTCACAAAGAAGATAAATACTACCCAGAAATAAATACTTAATGTTTTGTTTACTTCCTTCTAGGATTTTTTTAAATGTGGATTTTCCCCCAGTGTTCTTTTTAGTAAGAAAGTTTTTGAGTACTTTGTCTTCTAATGATAGGAGGTCAGGTCAGCTAAAATTGGTTTGCTGAATTGAAGAAAATAACATGCTTTTATTATTATTAAAGTAAAATAGTATTTTACTTTCAAAAGTATTTGTTCTATATTTTACAAAATGCAATTACCCTCTTTTCCTCTAGTTTCCAAGCCTGCAAATGAGAAGGAAGCAAAATCAGTAAAAAACAGCCCTGAAAAAGGTACTATGATCTAGGGATATAATTTAGTTTATTAAGTTACTGTTTTTGTGAATAAGGATAACTACAAAGGAGAAAAAAGTGGATTCTTTTTAAAGGCTATTGGTTTGTCCTGAGAGCTCTTTAAGTTCCTTTGTATTAATAATTTATTCTTTTTTCTCTTGATACTTAAGTCTTTGAAGTTATAGAAAATATAATAGTAAATGACCTATATTCATTTAATTTTTTTTATTTTTAAGTATTTTTAATTACAAAAGTAATAGATAATTCTTATAAAAGAAATTCAGATAGTGCATAAGTCCTTCTGTCTTCACCCAACCCCACCCAGAAGTAAAGGCTGAAAACGTTTTTGTCTATATCCTTTCCAGACCTGTTTCTATATATACATAAACACATGTAGACATCTCTTTTTTTTAAAAAAAAAAGAAAGAAACATTCCATAATATTGTTCTATAATTTGCTTTTTTGATTTTGCAATATATCATGGACATCTTTTCATGTCAGTATATTTTTGTCTACCTTATTCTTTTTAATAGGTACAGATTATTTCATTGTTTGGTTGTACCAAAATTTATTTCAGTAACTAGCCAAATACTGGTAGGCATTTAGGTTGTTTCCAATTATTTTTACTGCAAACTGTACTGCAAAAAAAATTATACTTACATTTTAGGATAATTTTACAAATATTTCTTTAGGATAGGATGAATTCATAGAAGTGTGGGAGTGCTGGATCAAATAGTATGCACATTTAATATTTTGATAGAAGTTATCAAATTTGTTCTTCAGAAGCCTATCATTCTTTTTATATTTTTGGATAACATTTAATTAAAAGAAATAATCAGTTGCTGAAAATCTTTGTTTTCTTTTTTTAAGAGACAGGGACTCTCTCTGTTGCCCAGGCTAGAGTGCGGTGGCATGATCATAGCTCACCGTAACCTCAAACTTTTGGGCTTAAGCAATCCTCCTGCATCAGCCTCCTGCGTAATTGGGACTAAAGGCACCTGCCACCATGCCAGTCTAATTCTTTTTATTTTTTGTAGAGATGGGAGTCTCGTTATGTTACCCAGGCTGGTCTTGAACTCCTGGGTTGGAGCAATCCTCCTGCCTTGGCCTCCCAAAGTTCTGAGATTACAGGCGTGAGCCACCATGCCTGGCCTTGAAGATCTATTTAAACATAACAATTTCCCCAGTATTTCCACTCAGTTTTAAAGTATCTTAAATAATTATTTAAAAAGTCATGTTAATATCATCTTGATTAAGCTCTTTAAAACAATGAGTAAATAAGTAGTGTTTTGAATTTTTGAAAAAGAGCCCCTCTATGAACCACTTTAGTACAGTACCTGCATATTTAAGAAGATAATGTAGAAGTTTTTTAAAACGTAGTTGTATTCATGAGAATGACTACGTGGAATTTGCATTGTCAAGTCAGGGTGTGCTGTTTTAATCTAAATATGTCCTTTCTCCCTCTCTTCCCATACCTTCCCTAGTCCCCAACCGTCCCAAAGTAAAAGTTTTAGTCTAAATGGAAATGGCAAAGTACTATAAGAGCCAGTGCATGAAATAAAAGGTAAAATCAGGTCATTTCTTAAATTAAAAGAGATTGAAGCTTATATCTAAGTGAACTATCTTTCAATCATAACTATTCTTTTTGAGATTTGGGAAAATATAGTCGGCTGTTCATTATGAAATGGTTTTACTCTCCTCATTCAGGCAAAGGAAAAATTGATATTCAAGCATATCTAAGTCAATGGCAAGATGACCTTTTCAAAAAAGAAGAAAACATCAAGGATTTACCAAGAATGAATCAGGTACAGTGTTTTCAAAGAGAAAGTTCTAGGTTTTGCTTTTTTTGTATGAATGTTGGTGTAACCAACTCTAAAATACCTAGTGTGCTATTAAAAAATAGTTAAATAATCTATGTATCATCTCTGTAAGTTTCAGATGAGTGAAGAAGAGTGGGAAAAAATTTTTTAATGATTTACTTTAAACACTTACAGGCATCTAATGTTTCAGATAATTCTTCTGCTATGACATTTGTACCTATAGAACAAAATGTATAACATATTTACAGCTTTATTGGGAATGTTCATTTATTCGGTAAACATTTTTTTAGTGCCCACTAAATGCCAAGCCCAATGCTAGGTACTGGGAATAAGAAGTTACTGAGATAAGTCACACCCTAGTTCCTGATGATCTTATATTCGAACCTGCTCAGGCAACACTACTAACTACTATTGACACAATTTTAAATTCATCTCTTTCTTATACACTATCCAGTCAGTATATGTTCTTATTTTTTTTTAATTAAAATCTGGTTGGTACAGATACTGAAGATCCCAAGAACTTTACCAGCATGAGAAGTGTCAAATAACTTAGTATTTCTCAATAGACTATGTAATTTGACAATTGAATAAGTACTTTTTAAAATGAGTCAGTATGATATATTTATTCTAAAATTAGGGAAGAAAAATAAAATTTAAACATTTGTTGTAATATATTATTATGAGGTATATATACCCTTTGTATTTGCTTTTTGTTTACCGATAAACTTTTCTGGTAGGCTGATTGACTTATAGGACTCTTGTGTTGGAATCACTTTTTAAAATTGACAGATATCTTCCTGGAATGTCTATGGATTATCTAGCGGCAATTACCAGAAAAAGCAGTTTGTCTCTCCACTTAGGCCCCATCTCAGCCTTTAAAAAGACACATGTCCAAATGTGTTCCTTGGAGCTATCTTGCACTATTAGATAGATCCCAGGTCATTTTTTCCCTAAATTTAATTCATCCTAGCTGAGCTACCCATTCAAATCATTTGAGATCAAGTGGAACTCATTCTTAATCATTTTGTTAAGATTGGTTAATAAATTAATGATTTACATGTACAGAAATATGGGGCTTTGTCTAATTAAAAGTACCCCCTCACATTGAAGTAATGTTGGAAGGCACTGCTATTAGGCAATAAATGAGAGGACTTAAATTAAATTTTCTTCAGTGGTTCATACTCATCTTTCTAGAACCAAGATTTATTTGGGGACTAATCATCAGTTCTTATAACATCTAGGGTGAAGGTTATATGGTACAAATTCTATATGGAAGACTAATCACTTCTTAGTTCTCTTTATATTCGCTAAGTCTAATATTCAAATGTGATATTTCCAACTTGTGTCTTCTAGTCACAATTTATTCAGTTTTCAAAGACCCTTTATAACTTATTTCATGAGGACCCTGAAGAAGAGTCATTATATCAAGCCATTGCTGTTGTAACCAGCCTTTTGCTTAGAATGGAAGAAGTTGGAAGAAAACTGCATAGCCCTACATCATCAGCCAAAGGATTCTCTGGTACAGTCTGTGCTTCTGGAGGACCCAGTGAGAGGAAAACAGAGAGCCACTTGGAGGAAGATCCCTCCTCTCCTAAGGCGGAACCTCAGTGGTCATTTGCATTTGAACAGATTCTTGCATCTCTCTTGAATGAACCAGCTTTGGTGAGGTTTTTTGAGAAACCCATAGATGTAAAAGCCAAGCTAGAAAATGCAAAAACCTCTCAGTTAAGGTCTAGAACCAAGATGTAAATCTCTTAAAAGGAATAACTTATCATAGACAAGTTTACCAAGATTCCTATAGCTATCAGCTTGATTCTGGGAGTAGGGCTCAGGGATTTATCTTGTTATCAATGTGTTTGAAGGCCAAAAAAAAAAATTCAGAAGCACAATGCGTCATTCCTTTATGATGATCTCAAATTTTGATATCCTCAAATACAAAAATACTTTTTTATATTTCACAAGATATGCAATATCAGGGGAGTATGCAAATGCTACCACCAGAGGGCACCAGCATATCACTTTTAGTAAGGAAATTACTAGCTTGTTTTGCTTTTTATATATGAATTACTGATGACTTTGAAAAGATGGTGTTATGTTTGAGTGTTAGTGATGCTGTTATGTCATATCAAGAAACGCTTCTTTCCAAATTGCCTCAGTCCTATTAGAATGCTTTAGAAAACTGGGCTCTTAGATCTAGAGCCTTAATTATCTAGTTTGGGATCATTTGGGACACTCATTTTCAAGTTATTTGACTGAAATACTATTAAGTTTTTAAAGTTAATCTCATTCAGTCTTCTAGTGATGATTTTTTAAGTAACTTATGCATTCTTCCTACCTGAGTGGTTCAGAAGCTACTAACTCACGCTGTTAACTGTGATACTGATAAAAGCAAATCAAGAACTCTAAACTCTGGGCTGATATAAGGAAAAATAATATTGGATTTGGATTTAAGCTGGATAAAGCCAGCCTTCTGAGAAGAATTAAACAATTCAATTAACCATATAGGTCTCTCATTAGACTGAGAAATTATGAGAAATACTTCTGAGAACTGCTGTTTGTGGCATTTTTCTCAGACTAGCTTATGTCTGCTTTGGTTCTAGCTTTAGGTTTTAGACTTCACCAGTCACGTTTTAATTTACATTAGATAGTAAAGAATAGTTACACTAAGACTGAATTAAGCATATTAGTCTGGGAAGCACATCAAGTGTACTTGTGTGTAATGATTGCCAAGGTCAGGTATAGAATTGCTGGCGTCTATCTAAAAAGTTTTGACTATCTGATTTAGATGCATAATTTCTATATACTTTATGCTGCTTTTATTTCAGTCATTACAATGACGGTCCATTGAGAGATAATGGGCTTTGTTAGCGCTTTAAAACAAACCAACCACACTTGTCCACTTCTGTGCTATTTCTGACAAGAACAATTTATTAATCAATTGACTTAGGAAATTGGAGGAGAAATCATCCATTGGCGCTTCTTTCTCCACAAAAGACTTTGGTCTTAAGCCATTTGACTTTTCTAGATGTGAAACAATGGAGGGACAGACCTCCTTCAGAGTGATCCAAGAATCTCTCTTTCTGGGAAAGAATTGGTACAGTCAGCCTTTGGCAAGAATCCACTGTGAACAAAGCCTAACACAGAGGGCTTCATCATCATAGCATATGTTACTTTCAGAAAAGTTAAAGAATTTTCAAGTTGAGTCTTTGAAAATTTCATAAATTGAGTTTAGCTAAACAATATTAGTGTCTTTTAAACGATTTGATCAAGCTTGTCTTTTCAAGGAAATTACCACTTAAAGAGATAGTTGGTAAATAAGCATCCATGCTTTTGTTCCAAAACATTTGCTGAAATATGTCCACATTTTAGAGTTTAATTAATAGTTTATATGAAAACTATCACACATCTGCTATTATGCAATGATTATTAAATTACACTACAGTAGCTCTAGAAAGACACACAGTCTGTGCATATATACAAAAGCACTACTATACACACTTTGTTGAATATTTTGCCCATTGTATTTACAAAGAAAGATACTTTCCTAAGAGCATATGTTATTAATATTTCATATGATTTTAAAGTCAGAATAGTGAAGATTACTATTATATTTTAGCTTAGATTAATTAAAATTGAATAGATTCTTGAGTTGCAAAAAGATTATAAATGCAAAGTAAAAAGACAAACATTTATTTTCTGAGTCTGCAGGAGAAACAAGCTGAACATTATAGTTTTATAGCTGCTGCCTTGTTAAGCAAATGGGTTGTTCTTAATATTAAAATCTTATGTAATTGTTTCAAACTGAACCAGTGCATTATACCTTATACATTAAATTAAACATGTTATGTTTACTTGTCTTTATAAAAATAAATATTATAAATCTATATTAAATGTGAAAAACAGTTTACTTTAAAATGTGAATATCATTTACTGTGATGTCTTTTTATTTATACTTAACAGCACTTGAGGACTTCCCTCCTGTATTAGTTAGAATTCAGTTGCAGAGAACAAAATTCACTCTAATTATTTCAGGCAGAAAAATATTTATTATTGGATATTAAATGGCTTACGTAATTATCAGGAGGACTGACTAAACTGAGCTTTCAAGAACAAATTTCAAAGCCATACCACTACCAGGCCACCAAAGGAGTCGCTAACTCTTCAATGATTAGAAAACTGCTACTTTCTGCTGCCATAATAAAAAGCCATCACTACTGCTGCTACCTCTCAAACCATGCTCCATCTGCTGTGATTTATACCATCAGCAAAATAGATGCCATGCACCCTTGCCTCTCAGCACCCACAAGCTAGTGACTAAATTGCAATAGAACAGCCAGACATCTTCACACGCATGTTTAACAGCAGGAATGACAGACACATAGCCTCCACCTCGCTTCTGTCATTCATGTCTCACATGTATGCATCTAATTGGTCTATTATAAATCCAAAATCCTAGTTGGAAAGGAATCTGGGAAATGTGCTTTTAGTTTTTTAGCCTCTGCAGTACAGGAAGGTGCACTAAGAGGGTGGAAAGCACATTGAACAGTGCATTTGTTTTCTAGTGCTGCATAACAAATTACAACACTCATTTATTATCTCACCATTTCAGTGAGTCAGGACACTGGGCTCAGCTCAGCTGGGTCCTCTTCTTAGTATCTCACAAGGCTGCAACCAAGGCATCAGTTGGGCTGCTTCTCATGTAGAGGCTCAACTAAGGAAGAATCTACTTCAAAGCTCACTTGGGCTGTTTGCAGAATTCATTTCCTTATGGTTGTAGGTCTGGGAGCACCAGCTTATTGCTGGTAGTCAGCTGGAGGCCACCCTCAGCTTCAAGAGGCTTCACTCAGTTCCTAGCAGCTGCCCTCAGCTTCTACAGGCTGCCCACAGTTCCTTGCCACACAGGCTTCCCCCAAATGGCCACTTACTTCATCAAGCCAGCAAGGAGAGTCTAGAGCAAGTCTGCTAGCAAGACAGTGTTTTATATAATGTATCACAGCAGTGACATCCCATCCCTTTTGCCATGTCGTGTTGGTTAAAAGAAAGTCACAGGTCCTGCCCACACTCAAGGGGAAAGGATTATACAAAGGCATGAACATCAGGAGGCAGAGATCATGGGGGGTGCTCCATAGAGTCTTAGAGTCTGTCCACCACAAGCACCATTCCATGTTATTCACCTTTTTTGCCATGCAACACACCCTTCTTCCCATACTTCTAAATAACTGCTGATAGCAGCAGCAGCATGATCCCACCTATTATAACATAAATCTCCCTCATACCAAAGTGCACTAATCTTCTCTGCTAAGGAAAGATCCAAGTTTCTATCAGTTACTTGGCTCTATCCATGAATGATGTTGACTCCTAATTCAGTCTCAAGCCCATATTGATATCCTGTAATATGTGGACTAAATTATAAAGTTAATTACCATCAACTCATATAAAACAGTAAAGGAAAAGTACGGAAATAGATTATTATATACCTAAAAGAGACAAGGAAAGATGATGGGTAGCTACTAAGTCCTCATTTCTGCAACTGGTCACATGGCTATAGTTGTGTTTTGGGTTTTTTCTATTATAATTATACAATAAATTTTTTGGTGCCTACTTCTATGAATTTTATAGTAACACAAGTATACCTGTAACCATCACAACAATTAGAACACAGAATAATTTCATCACTCTAAAAAGACTCCTTCACGCTATCCCTTTATAGTCACACCCTAACAACCACTGATAAGTTCTCTGCCCACCATGTAAAAGACCAGATGTTTGCTTTCCCAGCATCCTTGCCCCATGTAGGCATGTGACAAAAGATGGTTAATCAGAATCTTCTGCCTGGAATTTCTCAACCTATAGGAAGTAGAGGGAAAGTGAAGAATACAGTACATTCTGGTGGCAGTAGTGGAATCTTCACATCAATACTCTGGTTCTACGATTGGATTTAGAGTGCTTTTGAATGCCCAGACTTTCTTTATCCCCCACTTTTAGGGGGAGTTGCTTAGTGGTTCTGTGAGCCAAACAGTCCAATAAACATTTTCCTCTTTTTCTTTATCAGCTGGAATGTTTTTTTTGGCTTTAAAGTAAGATAGATACATGTAACACTGGGGGCCCTGTAGCACTGGATCCCTCAAGGCAAGGCAAATTATTCCAGTAGCAATAGTCATAGGCACATAATCACCGTAAGAAGCACATTTTCTCCTTTATCTCACATTATGCTGCAGTTTCTATTTCTGTCATCAGAACTACATGTTTCTCCCATCCCAGAAGCATCAAGTAATAGATTCCCTAGCTCCTAATTCTACTTGTCTTCCTTTGCAGGTAATGTCTTTTCTTTATGACTGCTTTCAAGATCTTGATCTTCCCAATATTCTGCAGTTTATGATTTATCTAGCGTTTTAAAAAATCCTATTTGGGATTAATGATTAAATTTTGATAATCAACTATCATTCTCCAAGACCTGTCTACCTTCTTCTGCACAGGCCAAACAGGCAAGTTAAATGAGAATGTTGTCCCGACCCGCGGGGTAGTCAACGCGGACCCTGGAGGAGGGAGTGGGAATTGGGAGAGGCAAGGAGACACAAGAAATGGAGACAAGACAGGAGTCTGATCAAGTCTCGTTTATTGGCAGGAAGGCAGAGGCTTAAGTAAGGCAGAAAGAGTAACAATAAAGGGGCGGTGCTTTCCGAGGCTCTGGCTTTCTTTCCGGCCAGAGGATTTCTATATAAGGAAACCCTCAGGGGCTTTCAAGGGCTACATAGTTATAATGGGTAAATAGAAACTTACAAGCTCTTCCGCAGGCTTTGCAAATGCGTGGGCTTGGTACAGCGTGGGCTTGGTAAGCAGCTGCCGGGCCTCATGGCTCCGGACAAATGTGATAGCAATCACTCCCACCTCCCATACACAAACACCTTCTTCAAATCTTTGGTGCACACTCGTCTCTAATTTCCCTAGGGATATAGTATTGACAGATTCAGTAAATTATACTTGGCCCTTTTTACCATAAATAGTTCTTACTACACTGGTCAAGGAGCAAATGTGGTATATCTGTCAATTGCTGATTGTGGCTATTTCAAGTATGCATTCAAGGACTATGAAATACCCATATTATGTA